AATTTTATAAACGCCATGTGTGGGTTTCTCAAGTGGATAGGCTTTTGGGGATCAATTACCCAAATGCACAGAATTAGTGAAGAATCATTTCAAGTATACAGGATTCCACAGTACACATTTTTGTCCTAGCATCATGTAGTGTTACTTTCTCCCTAGTTTCAGTAGTTTTTTCATTAGCTCTTTCTTTTAAACTGTATGCCCAACCTAGGGGTCGAATGCACAACCCTGAGATCTGGAGTCACATGCTTTACCGAGACAGAGGAGTTCCTCCATTAGTTCTTCTGGCCACATTGTTCATGTTTTTATAAAGTGGTAATTTCACTTTGAAACAATTTTGTTGTGTAAATAATTCAGAGTATAGCTTATTTTCCTTTAGTAAAATTTCAACATTTTGTCTCAAGACCTCTCTCTCTCCTATATTGTTGATGGGAGGTTAAATTGGCAAAGCTTGCTATTCTATGTGCACCTGTTTGCTTTCTTGAAAGTTAAAATTTTCTTGTCTATACTCATGACTCCCATCAATGGTACATTTGAGAGAGTGAGTGTGCTCCAGCTTAAGCTTGGGAGGGTCAGAGAGGAAGAGAGAGAATCCCAAGCAGGCTCCACGCTGTCAGCACAGAGCCTGATGTGGGGCTAGATCCCACAAACTGAGATCATGACCTGAGATCAAAACTCAGATACTCAACTGAGTGAGCTACCCAGGCACCCTCATCTTACTTTTCAATGTATACTTCATAGCACAAAAATGGAGACTTTTTTTTTTCCTAATGTTTATTCATTATTGAGAGACAGAGACAGTATGAGCATGGGAGGGGCAGAGAGAGGAGGAGACAAAGATTCCGAAGCAGGCTTCAGGCTCCGAGCTGTCAGCACACAGCCTGACGCAGGGCTTGAACCCACAAACCGTGAGATCGTGACTTGAGCCGAAGTCGGACGTTCAACGGACTGAGCCACCCAGGTGCCCCTAAAAATGCATATTTTGATCATTCAATCCACTTAAATTACTTGGGTGGGAAAAAAAAATTCATACATGCAAAGCATTAAGTTTGGCATTGGTATGAAAGTTTTTTGTTTTGTTTTTTAAGTTTATTTTTGAGAGAAAAAGAGCACACAGAAGGGGCAGAGAGGGAGAAATAAAGAGAATCCCTAGCAGGTTCTGCACCGTCAGTGTGGAGCCTGAGGCAGCGCTTGAACTCACCAACTGTGAGACCATGATCTGAGCTCAAGTCAGACACGTAACTGACTGAGCCACTCAGGTGCCAGCATGGAGCCCACTGTGGGGCTCAATCCCACCAACTGTGAGATCATGACCTGAGTGGAAATCAAGCCACCCAGGCCCTTTAAGGATTATATCTTTAAGTAATTTTTACACCCAATGGGCTTGAACTCACAACCCCAAGATCAGGTTACATGCTCTATCAACTGAGCCAGCCAGGTGCTCCTAAACCTTTTCTAATTGTACATTTACACAATTTAACACATCTACCCTTTAAAGTCCTTGAGCCTAATATCTATCCTAGTATTCAATACATAACATTACACCCACGCACTCACTACTTCTGATAGAAGTTCCCCTTTTGCAGCACCTGGGTGGCTCAGTCGGTTAAGTCTCCAACTTTGGCTCAGGTCATGATCACACAGTTTATGAGTTCAATTCCTGTGTCAGTCTCTGTGCTGACAGCCCAGAGCCTGGAGCCTGCTTCGGATTCTGTGTCTGTCTCTCTCTCTGCCCCTCCCCTGCTCATGCTGTCTCAAAAGTAAATAAAAACATGAAAAAAAAAAAGTTCCCTTTTCTATAAAGGAATTTGCTTCTTGACTGTTGAAACCACCCCTCCCACTCTCTTCCTCTCTTCAGCAGCATACAGCCCTTGGTTACCATCTTGGCCTTCTCTGGCCTCCTCCTCTAACATTTTGGGTATGCTACTGCCTTAAGGCTATTACATTTGCTATTCCCTTTACTTAACATGTTCTTCCTCCAGGTATGCACAAGGCTCCCTCCTTTATCACCCTTAGATTTTACTCAAAATTCCACCTCAGGGAAGCCTGCAAAGACTACCCTATTTAAAATTGTGTCCCCCTCGGGGCGCCTGGGTGGCTCAGTCTTAAGCGTCAGACTTCAGCTCAGGTCACGATCTCGCAGTCCGTGAGTTCGAGCCCCGCGTCAGGCTCTGGGCTGATGGCTCAGAGCCTGGAGCCTGCTTCTGATTCTGTGTCTCCCTCTCTCTCTGCCCCTTCCCCGTTCATGTTCTGTCTCTGTCTCAAAAATAAAAAAAAAAGTTAAAAAAAAATTAAAAAAAATAAATAAAATTGTGTCCCCTACTCCCCTATTCTCCTTCCCATTAGCATGTACATAACATCTACATGTTTTGTTTCTGATGTTTACTGTCTCTTCCCCAAGGTTTTTCTCTAACAGATTGTGGCTAATGTTTTTATTTTTGTTGGTGATAATGTTGCTTAAATCTTTAAAGTACTTTTACAGTCAACAGATTAATGGTTCTTTCAGGGCAATTCCAAGTCTTTTAATAACCTTGCTTAAGGGCATCTGGGTGGGTCAGTCCGTTAAACATCTGCTTAGTCTTGGCTTAGGTCATGATCTCAGGTTGGTGGGTTTGAGCCCCGCATCAGGCTCTGTGCTGACAAGTGTGCAGCCTGCTTGAAATTCCCTCTGCCCCTCCCCTACTCAGTCTCTCTCTCTCTCTCTCTCTCTCTCAAATTAAAAAAGCAGTAACTTGAATTAAAAGAGCTAAATTCTCTAGGAACCAGCAAGAGATTGATCTCTGGCTATTCTTTATTGGCAAAAACTTTTAAAAAGACATTTTGAAAAAGCTTAAAAAAATTTTTTTTTAACTATTTACTTTTGAGAGAGGGGGGAGGGAGGGAGGAAGGGAGGGGCAGAGAAAGAGGGAAACACAGAACCCAAAACAGGCTCCAGGCTGAGCTGTCAGCACAGAGCCCAATGTGGGGCTTAAACTCACGAACCGCTAGATCATGACCTGAGCCGAAGTTGGACGCTTAACTGAGCCACCCAGGCACCCCCGAAAGTTTTTTTAATAGGGACACCTGGCTGGCTCAGTTGGTGGTGTGTGTGACTCTTGATATTGGGGTTATGTTTGAACCCCATGGTGGGTGCAGAAATTGCTTAAAACAAAATCCTTAAAAAATAGCCCAAGGCCACTTCAATCTCATAGATTTCATCAGTCTATTACATACATTAAAATAATCTAATTTTAAATTTTTTTTTTTTTCAAACGTTTTTTATTTATTTTTGGGACAGAGAGAGACAGAGCATGAACGGGGGAGGGGCAGAGAGAGAGGGAGACACAGAATCAGAAACAGGCTCCAGGCTCTGAGCCATCAGCCCAGAGCCCGACGCGGGGCTCGAACTCACAGACCGCGAGATCGTGACCTGGCTGAAGTCGGACGCTTAACCGACTGCGCCACCCAGGCGCCCCTAAAATAATCTAATTTTATCTCTACTGTTTGAGGGAGAAAACAAAGCCCATGCTCCTATCCTTTTTTATAAAAGTTGCCTGAAACATAATCCACCTCTTTGCTAAAACACTTTCACCTAACATTAGAATATGTTCCCTATTAGAATGTGGGCTTCTTGAAGACATAAACCATATTATCTTTCCTTCACCACGGTGCTTGGTATTGAATACTGTTAATATCAACAACTTGGCTGACAGGAAGGGAAGCAGGAGGAAGAGGAAGCACCTGGGTGGCTCAGTTGGTTAAGTGTCTAACTTCAGCTCAGCTCATGATCTGATAGTTCACGAGTTTAAGCCCCCAGTCAGACTCTGTGCTGACAGCTCAGAGCCTGGAGCCTGCTTCAGATTCTGTGTCTCCCTCTCTCTCTGCCCCTCCCCAGCTTGTACTCTGTCTCTCTCTCTCAAGAAATAAACATTAAAAAAATTTTTAAAGACTGAGGAAGAGACAGAATTATACAATCAGGTATAGCAAATATGTTAGGAAAGGGACTGGTTCCCAAATCAATCCAGTTATAGTTTCCCATTCTACCACAATAAAAGAGACAGTCTCATTTTCAAAGAAATTAACTTTTATTTGAAAGGAGACTACTTTTCCTCACACTTATCTTCTAAGGACTCTATACTATACAATAATAGCCTGCTTAACCATTGTCCCAATACCAAAATTTCTAACAGCAAAGTATACAATTGCTCTAAGTAATAAATAAGAGTTGTCCTTCACTGATTAAGGGAATACTTAAACTTCAATAAATTCAACACAAAAATCACACTTTAAATTTTAACAGATGTATTTTAAATACAACATGTTTTGTAGGAGTCCACAAGCTTTTTATCTCTTAAAAAAAAAAAGAAAAGAAAAAAAAGACATAATTTTTAGGGTTCAAAAATTTCGTTCTTCAAAAGAAATGACCAAGTGTTTTCTTTTATAGCTTCAAACTTTCTACACTATTTGACTGCTCCATGCCACCCCAGACAAACTTGACATGACTGAACTACTTTATGTGTTACTATCTTTCCCAAAAGAAGTTAAAAAAGGAGTTTGTTTTAAATGCAGGTCTCTAGTACAATGTCTAATACAATATCTAACACAAAAGAAGCTTTAAAAAGATCATTTCTTTCCTCATTTGATTAGCCAAGAGTTAATTTTCTGTAAAAGCAAAGCAAAGGAAAAAAAAAAAACATTTACAAAGTGTAACACTGGGGATTCCTTTTTTACTTAAGATGTTTAACTACTCAAAATGACAACAATTACATCTTTAAGAGTATACTAAAAGGGGTGGAAACAGCAATACAACTGACAAAGTGTAGATGGTAAATAAACCGAAGATTTTTTTTTTTTCCAAAGGTTCTTTTTAAAGGAGTAAGAAGGATTAGAAGCTTGGGGAAATCCAGAATTAAACAAAACAAAAACCAAACCCAAACCAAAAACAAACAAAAACAAAAACAAAAAACGAAACACACCAAACTAAACCAAAAAAAAAGAAAAAAAAAAAAAAAAAAAAAAAAAAAAAAAAAAAAAAAAAAAAAAAAAAAAAAAAAAAAAAAAAGAGAGAAAGATGTCCTCATCTGCAACCATTCTGTTTATCAATAGCGTCCTGAAAGAGAGCAAAAAAAAAAAAGTCAAAATGACAATTATAGTTTGACTTGCCTAGTATTCGTCAAACTATGAACAATCTCCATATATGCTAATTTTCTAAAATAAACCATTGATTACGAATGGTTCCTAATGCCACAAAGTAAAAGTGTACATACGTGGACTGTAGGAACGAGATCTTGATCGTGATCTGTATCGACTATAGTAAGGAGAAGGTGATCTTCTTCTGCAGGAAATAAAAGATTACTTTGCATACCACATAATCACTGAGGCAGATGAAAATAACCATTACATTCTCTGTGTGCCAATTAATACTAGAACAGCAAGCATATGACACAACAAAATATTGGCAAATACAGATTACTGACCTCTGTTCTCAATCTTGAGAAAATAATTTCCCCCTTCCTCAAGAAATCATCATATAAAATCTATTTTTTTTAAAGTTACTTAATTTTGAGAGAAAAAAAAGCACAAGTGGGGGATGGGCAGTGACAGAGGGGGAGAGAATCCCAAGCAGGCTCTGCAAAAGTGCAGAGCCTGAATTTATAAACTGAGATCGTGACCTGAGCTGAAGTCAGTTGCTTAACCAACTGAGCCACCTAGGCATGTCCCTGTAAAATCTATTTTAAATATTTTATTAATGTATACAAAACAAAAATTAAAAGTACTAAATACTATTATAATCTAATTTAGAATGAAAATTACAAATTAAAACATTACCTGTACCGGTAATCATAGTCTTCATATCTGTCATACCCACGATCATATCCTCTATCATAGTAAGAATCCCGACGCCTGCCACCTCCTCCACCTCCACCACCACCTCCGCCACCACCACCGCCACTACTACAGAAAAATATAAAAATTTTACATCAATGTGATTTTCCAGTATCATTTAATACCAACTGGTGCTTAAATAAAACGGAGGAAGGAGGGAAGACAATGTAGAAAGAAAGATTATCGCTTTTCGCGTCGGTTACCTTCACATCTCACTTTGCTGACTCCCATGGTATTATTCTGCTTTGGCTTCCTACTCATTACATAAATAACCAGGAATGATTTCCCAAAACTCTCCAAATTATAAACTGCTCTTTTATACTACTCAAACCAGCAGGACCTTTTCAACAAGGTGAAATGAAGCACTGTGCTAGGAAACAGTACCAAAATGCTTAAGATGTGAGTCCTTAAGACTAATTCAGATGCAATTAATAAACATCATGAATTTAAAAAGGTTAACCAACCCGGAACAGCAAAAAGAATTAACTACCTTACATTGAGGTGCATCACTACAACAATTTTGAGATCTGGTTTATAAGACTTTGGCAGTGAATTTAAACTCTAAGCACTTTCTCCTGTACTTTTCCCAACTCCTAACCATAGGTACATTATTTTCACTTTAGTTTTCTGTAGGCTCTCCTTGCCAAACCCTACATTTTCCTCAGCAAGGCTTCAAAATAACTGAAAGTAATTCCTTCTTTCATTCTTAGCAATACTGTCTTTGGCTGTATTATATTAAAAAAAACATATATAAAAGCCTCTTTATTTTCTGCAATGTGAAAACTGACTTAAAAAAATATGTATCACTATCCAATAACCCTTCCCTATTCACAAGGCTTCCGAAGTCACGTAAGAATAGAAAGAGAATAAATGCTTAAAAGCATACACTATTTTTCTCATCTTTAATAAATTTTCTATTTGTATTAGCATCAAGCAAAGAGTCAGGAACGACTTTGATGGCTTTAATTTGTCCCCCTCCTCAAATAGATATTAGAATATGTACAAATTAAGCTTTCCATTCTAATTACAGGAAAAAATCATTTTATCTGCTAATTAATAAAAAAATTTGCATGCATTTTTGGTGAATTTCTGGCTCTTACAGTTTAGCTTAGAAAACATGTTATCTTACTGAGTTGGTCTGCCCATGTAGATGCCAGGTGTAGGTGTGTGCGCTCTCTTGGTAATAGAATAATCCACACGAATTCTTCGACCATCCAGCTCCATTCCATTTGCTCTTTCCATTGCCTTTAACAGAGAATAGGCACAGAAAGTCATGCATATTTTACTAAGAAGAAACTACTAAAACTGCCAACAAATTTAACACATTTTCCATTTGAAGTTAAAAAAAATTAAAATTCTCTAAACACTTCTTTCCTAAACAATAGGGACCAGGATTTTATATTATTAATTCTTGCTCTATGCATGTCAATAGTATTGAGTTTTCTAATGTACACACAGACACTGAAGCATCCCTCTGCTGAAACACTGGGGGCAGCTACAGAGAAAAAAACCACACAAGTTGGGAAGCCTGCATAACTCTTGAGGCTGCAGTTACTAGTTTCAGTCTAGGCAACTCAAAGCAGAAACTGCCATTCAGCTCACCTAAAACTATTTCTTAGGTAACACACTGCCACCTAGTGAACTCCAAATATAAAAGAACTTTTAAACCGGCCAACAAATGCTCCTGTCTTTATACCTGTGCTCACATTCCCTAACATTCTGCCCTTTGGCAAGAATACCAATAAATGTGACAATAATTCAAGTACATTACAAAGTTCTTTGGAACTACAGTAAAGTTGCCAATTTCATTTTATCTTATAAAGGAAATAAACCAGGCGGAGTGGTTGTGGGAAGAATCAAGAGCTAGGACAAATAAGTTTCATATTAAAAAAAAAATCTTAATTGTGGTATTGTTTTATACTTCACAACCTTCACTTCAGGTCAGATATCCTAGTATTTTTATTAAAAAAAAAAAAAAAAGTTTACTAATTTTTTTTTTTTTTGAGAGAGACAGAGCACACGCAAGAGGCAGAGAGGAGAGAGAATCCCAAGCAAGCTCCATGCTCAGTACGGAGCCCGACACTGGGATGAACCAGATCACCAACTGAGCAGATTATCAAAGAGCAGGCTGCTTAACCAAGTGAGCCACTCAGGCACCTCCTCCAACTACTTTTTAAGTTTATAACTTTATCTCTTGAGACCAGAAATCACAAATATGTAACCAAAAAAGGTAATATTTGACAGATTAAAACATTTAGAGAATGCTAATTAGAACGTCTATTACATAAATGATTTACAACCTGGAGGATTACTTTGTTAGAATTATCTGGGGTTTTTCAACCTTTGCACTTTGGGACTGCTAATTCTATGTTGTGGGTGGCTAACTTGTGCACTATAATTGTAAGATGTTTAGTATCATTTTTTGCCTCTATCCATTAGATGCCACTAGCATCTATTATTTTTGAAAAATATGCGAACTTTTATTATGACTGTTTATGTCGCAATCAAATACTGTTGATACATAGAGCAACAACCCATATCCAACTACTATCACATGTAAAATAGTAATTGGATAACTACTATAGGTAAAACAGTACCAACGTGAGGCTCAAACTCATGACCCTGAGATCAAGAGTCACATGCTCTACCAACTGAACTAGCCAGGTACCTGACATTTATTAAGGTTCGATAAGAACAAAAAAAGTTTTGATAAAAAAACTCAACAACGGGCTTCAAATTCCTTAAAATGGAATTTTCTAACCTGATCACTATGAACTCTAGTATAGAGAAAGTAAGCCTACTGCTCCCTTTATATTCCACTATCAAATACATTAGAATAGCACAACTTCAGGGGTGCCTGGGTGACTAAGCTGGTTAAGCATCCGACCATTGGTTTCGGCTCAGGTCATGATCTCGTGGTTTTGTGAATTCAAGCCCAACATCAGGCTCTGTACTGGCAGCGCAAAGCCTGCTTGGGATTCTCTCTCTCCCCATCCCCAACTTACACTGTGTCTGTCTCTCTCAAAATAAATTTAAGAAATAATTAAAAAAGCAATTTCTTAAAAAAAAAAATAGCACAATTTCAAATCATTGATATTGATTATGATCACGGTTAGGAAAATGAAGAATGGCAATAAAAACAAGAAATGAAAAAAGACCAGTTTTTTCTAGGTATATTTTAATTATAGAAAAATAGATGAGTATGAATGGAAACACACTCTATACATGGGGAGCTCATGTGACACAAAGTTAAACAGATTAACTTAAATATTATATAGTTTCTCTTTAACTTTTAAAAGAAGATTTTATTTTTAAGTAATCTCTACACCCAGCATGGGGCTTGAATTCACAACCCCAAGATCAAGAGTTGCACGCTCCACCAACTGAGCTTGCCAGACAACTGAAAATACCATAGAATTTCTAGAAAGTTAGTTTAATCACCTTCTTGGGAGTATGAATAAGACTTAGTCAAAGAAGAATATTCATATGCTTTATTTTTTCTATTAACTCAAACACATACATCTCACTTTCCAAACTGTAACACTGAGAGGAAGAGTTTGAATAGACTCAGGTCAGGGAATGAAAGAGAACATGTTATGGAACTGGGAGACTATCAGTCAACTTTTAACAATAACCTGACATTATAATTATGTACCTCAAAAATGTCAAATTGACAGATAATTATAAAATTACCTCCTTTGAGTCATCTATTCTTTCAAAATAAACAAAAGCAAATCCTCGTGATCGTCCAGTTCGCTGATCATAAACCACATTGACACCACTCAATGGTCCGTATCGAGAAAATACTTCACGAAGATCTCTCTCTGTTGTGTACAAACTGAGGCCAAACACTCCAAGGCAAGTGTTGGGATCTGGATTTGCCTGTTGAATATTTAAGATGTGATTTAATTTCAAGCTCCAAACTGAAGTAAAAATTAAGCCACACAGAAATACTTTGAACACCTCATCTAATACACAAAGACTATACACTACTTCAAGTTACTTGGAAAGAAGAATTTAAGAGGAAAAAACCCAGATGAGTAATATTTTACAGTTTACATACAGTACACTCACCCCTTCTTTGGAGTATACATCCAGTTGTATCCTAAATAAAAACATCCCTACTTTCTATTTCTAGTCCTGCAATTTTCAGAATGTATCCAAAGAATCCATCCTAGTTTAAATTTAAAGCCTTATTCGTGGCTTATTCAAATGTTTTATACCTTACAGATTTGTACTTAATATGACTTCATCTGTAAGTGCGTTCTCCATTTTCATTAAGGATATTCTTTCAATTTTCCCACAATCCTAATTTGAAAAATGTATTTACACATTTCAAAGCATCATTAAATAACAGCAGATTCCATTACAGTTAAATGATTCAGTATCACATAGAGGGAAAACACAGCACCAAAGTTAAGCACAGGAAGTTTGAGGCAAGCAGCCTGGTTGAAACCTGGACTCTGCCAGTTAGCCAAAATCCAAACATCAATGTCACATATCCAAGGCTCAACTTGCTTATCTATTACATGCATTGAAAACCTCTGCACAGTGCTGAATGTGTGTTAGCTATTATTATTACTACATGTATTTCCCTGCCAGCTTCCCTCAGCCTCCACCAAAAGTTTTTAATCTCAATATTTTCAGCTCAGTTTTTCATTTTAATTCGTAGAACATATATTTTCTTCACAAATTTCAACTTTTCACTCAAAACTCAAGAAAATAAAATATATAAAAAAATATTTTTTTAATATTTAATTTATCTTGAGAGACAGAGAATCCCAAGCAGGCCCTGCAGTTGGGGCTGAAACCCATGAACCATAAGATCACATTTTGAGCTGAAAACAAGAGTTGGACATTTAACTGACTGAACCACCCAGGTACCCCAAGAAAAGAAAATATATTTAAATGAATATAAATATTCATATGCTTAAGGATGTTTCTGGAATATCACTTTATTTATTTTTTATTTCCTTAAGTAATCTCTACACACAATGAGGGGCTCTAACTCATAACCTGAAGATCAAGAGTCGCATGCTCCACCGACTAAATCAGCCAGGTGCCCCCTGGAGTACCACTTTAAAATAACGGTCTAGGGGTGCCTGGGTGGCTCAGTCAGTTAAGTGTCCAACTTTGGCTCAGGTCATGATCTCACTGTTCGTGAGTTCAAGTCCTGCATCAGGCTCTGTGCTGACAGCTCAGAGCCTGAGCCTGCTTTGGATTCTGTGTCTCCCTCTCTGTCTTTCCTGCGCTTATACTATCTCTCTCAAAAAAATGAATGAATGTTAAAAAAAAAAAAACAACAAAAACCCAAAAAATCCAAAAAGATGGTCTAGTCTCATGAAATCAAGATATTATGCTATAACTAAACACCTAAGACAAAATAAGTTTTCATTAATTTTTTAAAACTACATACCCTGCTGCCTGTATGTCTTCTCCGGTTAGACATTGGAGAGTGACTTCGGCTTCTACGACGCCGGTATTCAGGTGTATATGACCTACTTCGAGATCGTCTCCTATGAGAGTGAGAATGGGATCTGGATCGAGTGTAACGTCTATGAGAATGCCTCCTTGACCTCGACCTGTGAGAGAAATAAATTTAAGTGAAAATACTGAAGCAAATGGGTAATGCCAAGGATTTATACATGTACCCCAGCTCCTTTTTACTTTCTGAGGCAAGTATATTCTTCTTGTTCTCTTAATCATACAATCATCTTGTTCTCAGTCTATCCCTTCTACATTCACTCTTTCACACTATACCTTACAAGCATGTTACACCTCTATCTTCTTTTAAAAGAAAAACACAAAACAAGCACTAAGGAAATCCTGCAATATTCTGAGACATGGATGAACCCTGAGGACATTATGCTAAGGCAAACAAGCCAGCCACCAAAAGACAAATACTGTGATTCCACTTATATAAGGTTCTTAGAGTAGTCAAAACCATATAGCCAGCAAGTTAAATGGTGGCTGCCAAGGGGCTGGGAGAGGGGGAAAACAAGGGGCCACTGTTCAATGGGTATAGAGTTTGTTTTACAGGATGAAGAGTTCTGGGACAGATGGTAGTGATGGTTGCACAATGTGAATGTATTTAATACCACTACTCAATAGCACTCTTAAACATGGTTAAGACTGTCAATTTAAAAAAAAAAAAAAATTTTTTTTTCAACGTTTATTTATT